TCCCCCCTTCCTTCTCTCCTACATTCCCTCCTTCCTTCCCTCCTTTCTTTTCTCCTTCCTTCCTTCCCTCCCACCTTCCTACCCCCCTTTCTTCTCTTTCTACTCCCTTTCCTTCCCTCCCTCCTTCCCCTTCCCTCCTTCCTTCCCTCCTTTCTTTTCTCCTTCTCTCCTTCCTTTCCCCCTTCCTTCCTTTTTTTCAGTGCCCTTGAAACTTTGCAGTCACTAAACGAACCGTTGCAAGTTCGAGGACCACCTCTAACCGACCAGATCCCAGCTTGGGAACTCCCCTCTCTGCCCAGTCTCTCTGCCCCTGCTTGAAGCCCACCCACCCACCTACCCCCGCTTGCCAAACGTGCCAGCTGCTTTGCCCGGGGCATCCTCCTCCTCCTCACCCTGCAACCGGCCACTTCCTGCCGGTCGTGGGAGGCGGCGGGCAGCTCCTGCCCGAGGCAGCAACACAGGTAGAAGGCGGTGTCGTAACGGCGGCCGGACGGTCCGGCTCGGCTCACGGGGGTCAGCCAGTTGCCCCACTCGTGGAGCGCCCGCACGTGGGGCGCGCAGCCCAGGCGGCGGCAGAGCTGCAGGAAATCCCCCGGGTCGCCTTGCACCCGCCGCCGCCACTCCTCCAGTTGGCCGGCCGGCAGCAGCTTCTCGGCGGCCGGCATCTCCAGCAGCGAAGCCGGCTGGGCGTCGGTCCCGGCGGGCACCACCAGCAGCAGCCCGCTCTCCTCGAAGGTCTCCCGGATGGCGCAGATGCGAAAGGCCACGTCGGCCGGCAGGGCGGCTTCGCCTAGCTCGGGCCGCCGGGCGGCGAAGAGCGGAGGCCTGGCGGGAGGCTCGGCGTCCAGCCCGCAGCGCGGCGCATTGGGCAGCAGGTCCCGCCAGGCGGGCGAGAAGTCGGCGGCTACGGCCAGGCCGCCCGGGAAGACTTGGGCGCTGGGCATGAAGGCGCTCCGGGCGCTCCGGCGGAGCAGCAACACCTGGTAGTCGAAGGCGGCCGGGCGCGGAGAAGGAGGACGCCCGCCGCCCGCCGCCAGGAGCAGCGTGGCGGCTTCTCTCCAGGGTCTGGAAGTCATGCCAGGGCGGAGAAGGGCAGCCGGGCAAGGGCGGCTGGGCTTTGCGCGGGGACGACGGCGACCTCCTCTCCTCTCCTCTCTGCTGGGCGAGTATCCCGGAGTGCCAGCCCTGCGAGGGAGGCTTGGGTGGCGGGAAGCCGTCTCCGCCCCTCCCGCCTCCACCCAGCCCTTATCTGTTGCTTCGTTCTTATTTGTTTTATTTCGCCAAGCAAGAATTCGATAACAGGAATAAGAACAAGCATGAAGAAGGAGGACCCAGGAAATGGGTACAGATAAATGGGTATAGTACAGGGATGGGGAACCTTTTAGAGACCCAGGGCCCAACCTGTAACCCAAAAACCCCACTTATTTAACGCCAAGACGGCAGTTTAACCTGAAATAATGAGGTTTTACTACCTAAAATAATGATAAACAAGGCAGAGTTCTGCTAATTGTTCTAAGAAAAACGTGATCAATGCAATTCTTATGCCCCTTCCCTTTTTTTCTGCTTTTGAATAGCAATAGCAATAGCAGTTAGACTTATATACCGCTTCATAGGGCTTTCCAGCCCTCTCTAAGCGGTTTACAGAGTCAGCACATTGCCCCCAACAACAATCTGGGTCCTCATTTCACCCACCTCGGAAGGATGGAAGGCTGAGTCAACCCTGAGGTTGACTCAAAGGTGAGATTTGAACCGCTGAACTGCTGATCTAGCAGTCAGCTGAAGTAGCCTGCAGTGCTGCATTTAACCACCGCGCCACCTTGAAATATTACCTTTGGCAACAATAAAAAAGAAAAACTTTTGTAATAGCTTTTCTCTTTTCCTCCCTCCCTCTCTTTCCCCCCCTCTCTCTTTCCCTCCCCCCTCTCTCCCTCACTCCCCATGGGAGAAACGTGATGGAGCTGGGCTGGGGCCACGGCACGCATGCCCAGAGAGAGGGCTCTGAGTGCGGGCCATAGGTTCACCACCACTGGTATAGTAGGACGGGGCGGTAGGGATGGTGGTGCGCTTATATATGAATACAAGCATAAATAGAATAGCAAAGTTGGAAGGGACCTTGGAGGTTTGAAGGTTTGAAGGTTTATTGCATTTATATGCCGCTCTATTCCCAGAAGGGACTCAGGGCGGCTAACAAACCCAAAGGGGGGGGGGGTAAAACAAGAAGGTAAAACAAACAATACAAAGAGAATTTAAAAAGACAATCAACAGTCACACAATTCGAGGGGGGAAGGGAACTCATCAACCCCAGGCCTGCTGGCACAGCCAGGTTTTAAAGGCTTTGCGGAAAGCCTGGAGGGAGGTGAGGGTCCGAATCTCCGCGGGGAGTTCGTTCCAAAGCAGGAACGTTGGAGGTCTTCTAGTGTCTAACCCCCTGCCTAGGCAGGAAACCCTATACCGGGATGGAGAACCTATGGCACCTGTGGCACACAGAGCCATTTGTCAGGGCATGTGCGCGCTGGCCAGCTGAGTTCAGCCTTTTTTAAAGCTGTTTTTCGCCCTCCCCAGGCTCCTATGAAGCCTCTGGAGGGGATAGGGGAAACCTTTATCTGTACTGTTATCATACTGGTCTCTTCCTCAATAAAAGGGAGCAGAAGTAAAGCACAAACAAACTTGGCCCAATTTTTTTTATAGCCGCTCTTAACAAAGTTGATTTTAGTCTATCCGTGGAATTGATTTTTCAGGGCTGCCACCAATGGTGGGTTTCAAAAATTGTCCGAACCTACTCTGTGGGTGTGGCCTTCTTTGTGGGAATGGCTTGCCACCCATGTGACCAGATGGGAGTGGCTTGCTGCCCATGTGACCGGATATGAAATTATGAATTAATACTTAGGTCGGTCCAAGTAGCTATTCAGAAACTCTGGCATTGAAGTATGCAGGTCTTAAAGCTGTCAAGTTACAAGATCCTTGCACTCCTAACCCTTTAGAAAAAAAAAAAAACTAGGGATCTTCAAACCTGACAGCTTTAAGACTTGTGGACTTCAACTCCCAGAATTCCTCCTCCAGTCATGTTGGCTCAGAAACTCTGGCATTGAAGCATGCAAGTCAGTGATGGGTTTCAAAAAAAAATTGGAACCTCTTCTGTAGGTGTGGCCTGCTTTCCGGGTCCACTGGTGGAACCTCTTCTAACCGGTTCAGTAGATTTGACGAACTGGTTCTACCAAATAGGTGCGAACTGGTAGGAACCCACCTCTGGCTGCCACACAGGTGTTGTTAGATCATGCAAAGTTAGTTTGCTTACTTTCAGATTAGGTAAACTCATCATAATGTTTTTACTACCGCTTTAGGCGCGCCTGCGCATGCCACCTCTGATTCCAGGTGTTGACCGTTCTGTTGCTGAAGTCGCACCACCTGTATGTGTGGGGGAGTTTTTGCCCTCCCCAGGTTCCGGAGACATTCCTGAAGCCTGGGGAGGGCAATAACAGCCTCCTTCGCCCCGCTCCCCCCCCCCGGAAGGTGGAAATGGATCATTTCCAAACTTCCGGTTAACCTGTTGGGCCTGTTTTTTCTCCTCTCTAGGCTCTGGAGATTTTCCTGAAGCCTGGGGAGGGCGAAAATGGCCTCACCCAGCACTCCAGAAGGCCTAAAATCAGCTGGCCGGGCACATGCATGCGTGCCAGAGGTGTGGGCTGCTGTGCTGGCAAATATGGCTCCACACGCCACCTGTGGCACATGTGTCATAGGTTCGCCATCACAATGATAGCAGATAATTTTATGTACTACATTTAGTTCGGATTGAAGACGGAGAAGTTCTGAGTTGTCTAAGCCACACATTTCAAGTCCGGTGGCATAAGGGGTTCTGTTGTGAGCAGAGGAGTGGAGGACTCTTCTCGTGAAATATCTCTGGACTTGTTCGATTATATTTATGTCTGCTATGCAGTTCCAGACAGATAAGCTGTATTCGAGAATTGGTCTAGCAAAAGTTTTGTATGGCCTAGTTTGCAGTCATCCAGGTTTCGGAAAGCGGCCGGATTAGAGGGAACGAGGCTGGGGACACGCTGTCTCCTGGGCTGGGAAAGCAGGCAAGGCAGGGTGGGGTGTGGGGAGAGCCTAAGTGGCACAATTGATTTGTGGTCCCCAGGGCTGCCAAGAAGATTATTAAGTGCTGGAACAAGACTAGTATGGGCCTCCTCATCTACGCATGGACCAGAGGTGGGTTCCTACCAGTTCGGACCTATTCGGTAGAACCGGTTCATCAAATCTNAAGGAAGAGCCCTTTCCCCTCTCCCCGTCCAGCCTTAGGAGAGCTTGGCCACGCACACCGCCAGGCCGATGGCGATCAGGAGGACGGCAGTGAAAATGATGGCAGCCAGGATCCTGCTGGGATCGCAAAGGGTCTTGTTCTCGACCCCTGAGACGGCGCCCAGGGAAGCGGCGCCCCCACTGATGTTGGAATTCAGCTCGGTGCCCGGGTCTTGCTTGGCCTCGACCGTCCAGCGGGGCACATTGACCTTCATCTCCATCTCGTAGATCATCTCGCCCACCTGGCTGATCTCCTGCTCCAGGTCCGTCAGATCCACCACGTCGATGTTGGCCTCGGCGTTGTACTTCATGTTCTGGACGCTCATGGCCCGGGCTGCCACCCCGGAGGTGCCTCCGCTCAGCCCCGTCTGGATGAGCGGCTTCTTGGGCACGTGGAGGGGGAACGCCTGGCCCAGCTGCAGGGCGCGCCGCATGTCGCCCTCCAGGATCTCCAGGCAGGCGGAGAAGATGACCCAGAGGCGCTCGAACTCGGCTCGCTCCTCTTTGGCCAAGGTTTTGTTCCGCAGGGCGGCCGTCAGCTGGGTCCGGGTCACCCCGGCCAGCTCCTGCGCCTTCTGCCGGGTCTTCTTCAGCTCCTCGCGCAGCTCCTGCGAGTCCGCCGCGCCCCCGACGGTCAGCACCAGGTGCCGGTAGCAAGCCGTGACTTTGCTCAGCGCGTCCAGGAGCGCCTTACATTCCTCCTTGGCCATGGCGAGGTAGGTCCCGCGGCGCGCTCAACCCAAGCGAGCTTGGCCGGACGGTGCGCGCATGGCCGGAGCCCGGGGGCGCCCCCGCTGCTGCTTCTGCCGCCCCCACTGCCCTCCCCGTTGGCAGGACGGAGGCGCCTCCGCCTCCTTCCCCGCACTTCGGCCAAGGCGAGGCAGCCTTCCTCGCCCTGCGCGCATCCCCGGGGCAGGAGGGGGAAAAAACAAGCCACAAGCTAAGCCCGAAGCAGCCACCGACCGACCCACCGACCGTCTCCTTTAAGCCCGCTGAAGCTGCGGGCCGGGCGCGGTCTGGGCGCTTAGGGTTAAATAGCGCGCAGCTGGCGCCGGCGGGACCATCCCGGGGGGAGGCTCCTTCTTCTTCTGTTGCTGCTGCTGCTGCTGCTGCTGGGTCGGCTTGTCTACCCGCTCCGCTGCCGCCTCCCAAGCTCCACCTTCACCCGGCTGCCCAGCCAGCCGACGCGCCGGGGCGGTTGCGACAAGGCCGGGGCTTATTGGCTCGCTTGCTGGGGTAGGATCCGCCTCGGGGCCCGGACTAGGAACGGGCGGCGCTTGGAGGGAGTGGTGGAGGGGGGGGCAGAGTACGAGGAGGAGGAGAGGGGATGCCGCCGTTGCTGCTGCTGCCGCCGCCGCCGTGGGGAGGGGGCGCAGAGGAGACCCTCGGGGGCTTCGCAAGAAAGTGAGCGTCCGCTTGGCCCGGGAAGGAGGGTTGCAAGAAACCGGGGTGCCGCGTTGGGGAGTCGGGAGGGGGGGGGGCGTCGTGTCCCGGGAAGCCCCTTCCCTCTCTCCCCCCGGGCCTCTTCCCGGGGATGGGTCTTTGCGCGGGGCGGCCGGGTGGGAACTCCAAAGCGGCGCACAGGGCAGCTCCCCGGGGTTGCCAGCCAGCCAGCTTGCCTGCCTGCCTGCCTGCAGGCCTCCGTGCCCCTTCCCCTAAGCCTGCAATGGCTCCGTGCCCCCTTCCCCTGCCCCAAACGGGGCCGCTTCTCCGGCGGGAGCTGAGTTAGGTAGTTAGTTAGTTTGTGTATGTATATATGCATTCTAATTAATTCATTTAATGTATTATTTATTTAGTCAAACGTGTAGCAAGATAGATATAAGTACGAACAGGGACATGAGTAAAGGAAATGAATGCGAACAAGTGAGTTAGCAAGCCTCGCCGACAAGCCGGGAGAAGCGAAGGTCCGGGGGGGTGGGCTGCCTTCCTGCTGCGGAGCCGCAGTGCTGGGGGTGGGTGGGTATCCAGGGGCCAGGGCGGGAGGCTGGGTGGGGGGGTGTCAATGTGGCCCTCTTTCCCCGGGCGGCCGGAGGGTCTCCCCCACCTCGGACGAAGGAGCGCAATTTGGAAAGCCCTTGGTTTGCAAAGGAGACGTCGGGGAGGTGCCGGGCTGGTTCCTGGCGGGGAGACGCTCCCGGGCTGCGTCCGAGGGTTCTTTGCGGTGCGTTGGTTTTCTCGCACGGGCCCTTTTCCTGTGCATGCCTCGGTTTCCTCTTTAGAGGATTGGCGGAGAGAGAGAGAAAGAAAAGAAAGAAAGAAAGAAAGAAAGNATGAGAAGGAAGGACTCACTGGAGAAGAGCCTCATGCTGGGAACGATGGAGGGCAAAAGAAGAAGGGGACAACAGAGAATGAGGTGGCTGGATGGAGTCACCGAAGCAGTTGGCGTGAGCTTAAATGGACTCCAGAGGATGGTAGAGGACAGGAAGGCTTGTAGGAACATTGTCCCTGAGGTTGCGATGGGTCGGACACGGCTTCTCAACTAACAACAAAAAAATTGTCATTTCAGTGGAAGGTAGTAGCATTCTGTGCAGCTTGGAGTATAATCATACTGGCCACTTGACGATAGAAGCATCTTGTATAACACTGGCTGCTCGCCATCCCTCAAGGAATGCAAATGAGCTTCGTCTCCTAGAATCAGACAAAACTGGACAGGGGAAACATTTATCTTTACCATTATCATATTGGTCTCTTCCTCAATAAAAGGGAGTAGAAGTAAAGCACAAACAAACTTGCCCAATTTTTTTAATAGCCGGTCTTAATAAAGTTGATTTTAGTCTATCCATGGAATTGATTTTTCAGGGCTGGTCTACCTTACAGGGCTGCCACAGGTGTTTCGTTAGATCATGCAAAGTTGGTTTGCTTGCTTTCAGATTATTGTAGGTAAGCTTGTCATGTAACCTGGCCTATTTTTAACTTGCTGCTGATCTTATGCAACCCTTAAGTCACTGAAACAAGTGAACTTAAGTGAGCCTCGGAGAACCGGCAAATAAAAATAAAAGAGGTAGCAGATGGGACAGGTGAATGTTTACCCGGGGCTCGCCGATATAAATAAAATAAAATAAAAATGGCAAGTTCTGTGATGAGCCTGTTTTTCAAGGCCAGAAAACCTACGTTTTTAGTACATACCGTTAGATGGGGGAAAACGACTCTTTAATTTTTTAGCGATTTTAGTAATAACTCTTTAATAATTTTAGAGATTATTAACAGACATTTTGGCAATTTCAAATACTGCAGATGAAAAGGCCGGATTCTTGGGTCGACCATTCACCTTGTAGTTATTTCATAAGTAAGAAATGTTTAAACTGAGCAATAATTAGGAAAAAATGGACTCCATGGCTTAGTTCTGCAAGATTACTCTTAAATCACCCACACCATCATTAATTGTGCTTACATCCAAGGGAATCACGTGGCTCACAATTTTAATGTACAAAATGCTTTGCAGTATTTCAGAGGAGAATTTGAAAGTGTGTTTTATTCTTCTGCATCATAAACACTTAGAAGAGAGTTGGAAGGGACATTTGAGGTCTCCTAGTCCAACCCTCTGCTCAAGCAGGAGACCTATATCATTTCAGATTGTCCATTCGCTTGTTGAAAGCCACCAGTGATGGAGCATCCCAAACTTTTGTAGGCAAGTTGTTCCATTGGTTGATTGCTCTGTTAGGAATTTTTTTTCCTGAGCTCTTGGCTGCTTCTCTCTTTGGTTACCTGGCTGAATCTACACAGTATTGTTCACAAATAGTCTACCTTAACATCCAAAATTGTATTCTTTGCTTCGCTTGAATGCTCTCTCTTACTCTTGACAAAGAAAATGTAATGTGCATCTCTTCTGCCTTAAGCAGTGAAGCAGAATCCAACTCCAAATGGAATGCAAGAAAAAGGTGGAACGAAGTGCAAAATCGATCAGGGTTTCTTTTAATGCCACTTTTCAATTGGACCCTAATTTGTGAGTGAATTTTGAATTCTTAATAACAACAGGCCATTTGGGATATGCAGGTGAGTTTAGCAAAAAGGTTGACTATTTTGTCCCAGCTTGACACTGTAAGCTTAGAAACATACTGAAGGAAAAGATTGAAGGGCTTGTAATTCAGCATTATTGCCAAATGACTTTATGAAAACGTGAAAGGTATTTAAGGTATTGCTAAAGAAGTTCACACAGACACACATACACACACACACACACACATGTATGTTTAGGAGTTTGTCTTTAAAAGCAATCTGTTCAAAAGCTGGCAAGTTAACAGAAGAGGCTTTATTTTAAATAAATAATAGCAATAGGTTTTATCCTGAGCATAAAAGAATACTCTTGAACCACGGAATGCCAGTTTATAATGCTTACTTTCACATTAATACTGAACCAATCATTTTAATATGGACCCAGCATTCACTGGAAATGCAACAAATCAACACTGTTTTTTTAAAAAAAAATCAAACATTCAGAGATCGTAGTTCTCCGATTACCACTCCTGTCGTAATTCTCAACTTCATCATACTTGTAAAATACAGCAGTTTTTGACTTTTTAAAATAAAGAATCCTATCCAAAAGAGACTTTTTGTTTCTTTTCAATGAAAACATACACTTTTGTTAAAATTAAAATACCTATGGCTGTAAACACAAGACAGTTAACAATAGTTTTTTTTTTTTTAAAAAAAGAGTAAAACAACTTGGCTTTAAATAAACTTTAAATAAATAAATAATTTTAACCACATCATGTATGATGGTTGATGATGTAACCGTCTATACAGAGTCTGTAGCCTTTAAGACCTAGCTAAAACAAAACCTCAGTGTGGGTCAAACTTTTATCAGCAATAAAATTCTGTGCTAATGTTTCTGGTTATGTATGGCTTAAAAATGAGACTTCTAGATATTTTCTTCCAGAAAGAAACATGTCATACTTTTATGAACTTTAGAACAGAGGTGAAAGTGAACAAACGTCCTACATTTTTTTAATGGATGAACAGAAGCGTATCACGTTTAGGATTATTTCATCAGTTCCCATAGATCAATCTGACACTCATACACACCCCATAAGAAGATATTTCCTCCATAGTATTATTTAAGGATAGCACCAGCCTCAATCTCCTTTGCATCTGGTCAGCTTTTGCCCACGTGATAAAACAACTATCCCTAAACCATATCGCACAGTCAGTGGTGCTGAGCAGATGTGATGAGAGCTGAGCAAAGAAGATATTAATTAATCAGATGGTGACAACCCTGTGTCAGGACTGGATGAGATGTAATTTAGAAATAGCTTAGAGGGAGGGGAAAAAAACAAGTAATGCAGAGACAGTTAATGGATGCACAGACATGAGAAACACCTTTCTAAATCAGGTCTGCTTGGACAATAAACCTTATTGGAATTAGGAACTGTTTCCTAAGTGTAAATGTTTTCATAAAAGTAACTTCGTTCTCAGGAAGACAAGTATTTTGCAGTGATGTGTTTATGACTTTAACCTGGATTTTGCAAAACAAACCTTGTAAAACAGGAGTGGAGAGGTTATTTCATCCATACTGATAGTTCTTAGACTTGTGTCTTCAATGTGCAAAGAATACTGTTTTAATTCCAAATTAAAAAAGGTGTCTCCGGGAGCATTCGCCCAGCCTATAAACAGTGTTGCATGCAGCCTATGTAAGAGCACTTGAAGTCTAGGTGTTCTCCCATAAAAATATATGAGACGTATTTAAGATAAATATTCTAGCCCTTGTCAGCATACAACCCGTGGGTCCTTCCAATGAACAAGGACTGTTCTCTTCAAGTGAAAATGAATCGTGCTACAATAAAGAGAGATGGGTACTTTAGCACCAAAAGGAATACACAGTGTTGACATCTTTGTTGCTCCCAGCCCTGCTCCTAAGACTTCCTTAAAAGCAGATATTTACAATCCACCGTTGTTGTAATATAGTTCCTTGTGTAGGTGTGTGTCCCCCCCATGGCCCAGTTCATACCAGGGCATGCAGAGTCACGCTGAACCACACAGGAGAAAACAAACTCCTAAAACACCATAACATCCTGATAGTGCATAACATAACATTCTGAGATGTGCCCTACCATTGACGCCCAGGATTTGACCATATCAAATATCAAATGTACAATTTCTAATCTACTGCTCAGTCTATATATATGGTCAAATCCTGGG